GGCTCCACTGCCTGAGAGGGGGGTGCCCACGCCTGCCCGGGGTCTCGTCGGCGTGTCCTGTGGACAGCGAGAGCCTGGTCGTGCCGCACGGCAGGATGAGGCCTGGGCCCCCTGCGGGCAGGTCAGTGGACGAGCTCAGGAGACCTTCCCTGGGGAGGGGCTGGGGCCTGGGGGGTCAGGGTCTCTGTGGCAGGGGGGCCGCGGTGGGATGTGAGGACAGCTCCCCTCGTGCAGGGACGGCCACGATGGGCGGGCCGTGGGGCGGGCTCCCCCTCTCCACAGCACCGTGGCACCTTGCTCCCGACCTTCTCTGCACCCTCCTGACCGCGTCCACGTGTCCCCTCCTGGGGACAGGGAAGGCCACTGAGCCCGTGGCCCCTTGGATTCAGGTGACCCTCTGGCCAGGTGTCTAGCCAGCTGGCCCCAGGCCGCCTGGCCCCTGCGTGGTGGTCACTTAGAAGCTTAAACTCCCGACCAGCAGGAACCGGCCACGCGCTCCGGGGAAGATGAACAGCCTCTGGGATTAAGGGATTTGCCACAGAGACAGCCCTGTCGTCCTGGCTTCTGAAAGACCAGGAAAGACACTGGATTAGTTTTCGAAAACTAGATTAGCTGTTTCAGAGTTAGATCATGGCGAGCTCTGTTCCGCCACGCCACGCGGGGTGCCCTGGGCAGGCAGCCCCCCGCGCACAGGTTCCTGCCCGGGGAGGGTCCCCAGCGAGGTGTCTTCTGGAGCACATGTGGTTTTTACCTCTGACCACACGAGGGCACCATTGGTCAAAACGGCTCTTTCTGGAAAATGGCCCCACTGGGCAGCTTTTCTCCCCAACATTGACCCGTCTCTTACTTCACGAATGGTTTTTGCTATTCTTATAACTAGTATCGACACGTTTACAAACTGCACGTCGTCTTCGAAGGTCTGGTTTCTTGGGTTCCGATGTCGTGCGCTGGGTACGAGTGACCCTCCCGGTCCTGCCGGCGCTGCCCCGGCAGGAGACCAGGCCCCGTCTGGAGCGAAGCTGGAAACCGTCACCACCAAGCACCGGCTGACTGTGCAGTCACAGTGACTGGGACAAACAAAAGACGACCTCAGTGAATGGCTTGGCTGTCGCTGGCCGTCGGTGGGAAATTTAGGAATTTTGACCACGCCCCTCACACTGTGCACTAATGATTTCGGCGAGATTGCAGGTTTAGACGTGAGCTGTGGAATGACGCAGCTTCCGGACACACACGGAAACGTCCACCTCGAGGGAAGAAAGGTTCCTGCACGCAGCTGGCGCACGGACTGCGCGCACTGCGCTTCTGGGAGTCTGTCACGGTTGGACAAGGTGTTCTCCTAAAAAACGTCACAATCCCAGGAAAGGAACTTAAGTGCTATGTGTTCTGTCCTAAGTGGGTGAGGTGACCTCACGGCAATGTGGGGAGGCCTTTCTGTGCCCCAGGACCCTGCCTGTTCCTCGGCCGTCCCCTCCCTGGCCTCCCTGCCTGGCGCTCTCGTCCCGGCTCCCCCGTCTGTGCGGGTCCGTCTGCTCCTTGCCCGCCCCGCCCGGGGGGAAGGAGACACAGCGGGCCGGGCACTGGGGCCTCCGCACCGCGCGGCATGGCCAGGGCATGGCGCAGCCTGTGTCCACGCGGCTGTGCTCATGGCTTCCACCCGGGGACGCTATGGCGGGACCCACGGGCTGGCGGGGCCTGTGCGCCCCCAAGGCCGGCCGGCCTGGCAGCCAGGGAAGGCCCCGCAGAGCGTACATTCCTGAAGCATTTGTGGGACCTGTGTGCCTTTTTTGCTTCTTGGGGCCAAAAGTGAGCTCATCAGCCTCAAACTCAGCTGCTGGGCGGCCGGCCAGGGCAGCCCCTCCGAGGCCGACTGTTGTGGGGTTGAAGCTGATATTGGGGTGTCTGCGGGCTGTATTCGTGCCCAGGGCACTGGGGGCTGCTTCTGGCATGGCTGCCAACCTCAGCGTGACCTCCCGCCTCCTCCTCCTGTGCCACCAGCTTCAGAGAAACCCGCCCAAAGCTGGGCCCTCCGGGACACCAGGCATGTTCCTGCTGGAACCAGGCCGGGGCCGCACCCCTGTCCCTCGGGCGCGTGTGGTCACAGATGCAGGCATAGGTCAGGGCTCCGCCAGCCCCGGGCCCTCCGCTCGGGGGACAGACCCAGGCCCTGCCTCACTGGGTGGGGGTTGCGGCCACAGGGGTGCCACGCGCCGCGGGCCCCGCTCTCTGCGGCCACGGCCAGTCACACTGCCTTGCTGGGGACCCGCAGGCGGAGCGGGCGGGGGGCACAGAGGAGGTCTTCACGCCCTCACGTCAGGCGCTGTCTCATCTAGACCTTCTGGGTCAGTTTCCCAGACCGGCAGTTTCCCAGCAGGAGAGGAGCTGTGAGGGGCGTGGGTAGCGCGCACCTGGGCCCCACGCGGAGGGGCCGTGGCTGGGGGCAGGCGTGTGGGCTCTGGGGACGGGTCCCACTCAGCACCGTCCCTCAGCCCCTGCCTGGCACAGACGCTGGGGGGAGGAAGGGGCTGCTGTGGCCCCATCCTGTGGGGCCGGAAGGTTTGGTGTCAGGAGCGGGTCTCTCCTCCATGGGGGACTGCAGTGCCGCCCGCGCCGGAGTGTTTGGACAGACGCAGGCGCTGGGGAGACCAGGCTCGCAGCTGGGCCGCAGCGTGAAGCCACGTGTGTGAGGCCCACGCGCTGCAGGCTGTGGGGCTGGGTGTGGCCGCACTCGGGCCACAGCAGGGACGTCCTGGTGCAGATGCCGGACCGAGGCCGTTCTGTGCGTGTTGTGGGCTGTGCCCGTAGCGAAGCGCAGTTCACAGGTGGATGCAGAGTTTGGAGCGTGAGGCTGAGACCCTTCCGTGGTGCAAGCTCCACTTGAGAGACAAGGGGGACGTCAGGCCTGGCAGCAGCTGCGGCGCCCTGCGCAGTGCTCTGGCGGCCCAGCCCCTCGCCCGGCATCCACAGGGGGCGGGGCCTATTATGGCTCCCGATTTGCAGAAATGGGAACGGGGATTTGCGCCCAGCCATCTGCCCAGGGTGTCCGCCAGAGCCCCCCATCCCTGGGCGGTGGCTGCCTCCAGCAGACGCTGCAGATGGGCGGGCTGGGGGGATCTTCCTCAGAGCCCGGCTTTTGGTCTCAAAAGCCCTTTGCTGGGTTCGTTGGTCTGAGGATGCGGTGCCGATGGAAACCGGCCTCCCTGGGCTCTTCCCCTTCGCTGCAGCGGGCGTGGGACGCAGAGCGGCCCCGGCTTGCTGCTCAGAATGGCAGAGGCAGCCCTGCGCACCCTGCGGGGCAGGGTCGGGCGAGGCCGGTCGGTCAGGCTGCCCCGGAGCTGCCCTTCTGAGGTGCAGGCGGAAACGTGGCGGCGTTAGCACCGCTAGAAACCTCCTGCGCCTTTGTGCCTCTCCAGAGGGAGCGCCTGCCGGGGATACGGCCACACGCAGCCCGCCCGTCCCAGCCTCAGGTGGGGACGGCAGAACCGCACCCCCCGCACAGTAGCCGAGAGCCGTCGGGACGTTAGCAGACCCTGCTGGGGCCGCTGAGGCAGGGACGTGTCCTGCATTGCCGAGGAGCCCCACGTGTTGGCAGCTGCCGGGACAGCGGGGACAAGGTTTCTGCTCTGTCCCGGCTTCCCAACTGACCCGCCCGGCCGGAAGCAGCCCGCCGGCGAGTGGGTCGCAGTTCTGTGTCTAGCACCAGCGCCTGGCGGCGGCGGGGGGGAAACCGGTCCCGGCACTTCACTCACGTGAGGACGGCTGACTTTGGGGGCGCTTAGCGGGGTTTGCTTCGCGGGACAGGAAATGAGATTCCCTCCCCCACACCTGCTGTATCTGTCAGCTCTTAAAACTGCCAACATGCTCGAGCCCAAGAAGTAAATCAGGAAATAAAAACACGTAACAAACGTCGTAGCTCTGCGAGAACTCCGCCACCACGCCAGGAAGCACGTGTGTTTTCTGTGAGACAGAACCCACGAGCTCCGCCGTGTGCATGGTGCTCTCTCGTCCACGGCAGAAAGGCTGCGTGGGCTGACAGCGGGCGTCCGTTCACCCAGAAGTGCTCTGCTGTCCTCGAACCGGATCTCTCCAGATGTGCGGCGTCCTTCACAGCCGCGTGTAGACGCGGACACGGAACCAGCAGCACACGCCACACGGATGCACGTGGCGTGAGTCTCTGTCCCCGTCACTGGCTCTGAGTCAGCCGGATCTTGCACGTCAGCCAGGAAGCTCCGGCTGTGTCAGGAAGCGCTGGCGGCAGGCAGAGCTCTCCACGCTGTGATTTGTGCGTGCTCCGTGTAACCCCGACCTTCACGGAAACCCACAGGGGCTCCTTAGATACGCTCAGACTCGGGTCTGTGCCCTGAGCCTGCCTGTCTCGCAGCCTCCGTGGTGCGGCAGCTCTGGCATTACAGATTGGCTTGGCTGTGACACGCTCCGACGCCGCGGGCCTCTCCGGCTCTACGCTGTGACTCGGGCTCCGGCCAGCAGGCCTCACCAAGGGGCGGAGGTCGCGGTCACACAGCCGCTCGCGTGCGAGCGTGATCACAGATGTGGCTGTTGCCGGGAGCCCGGTCTCGCCTCCTGTTGCCGGCAGACGCTCGGGAGCCTCCAGAAGCCTTGGGGACTCTCACCCGCAGTTGCAGCAGCGCCGCCAAGAGCAGTCCTTTAATGTGGAGGAAGGCGGGCTCCGCGGACGCCAGGACTGACGTGATGTACGGGGCCGCACAGCTGGTTGTGGAGGTTTAACTGCCTGAGCTCCAGGAAAGATGGGCTTTGCCTGGACCTTTGGATTGAGGCTGAGAAATAAGAACACACCAAGAATATCTTCCCTGCTCGGATGAGAGCCAGTTCTGGGAATTGCGGGAATGGCCCGCCCACCCCATGGGGACACCGCCAGGACCTCTGCTTGGCACACGCCTCACCTGTGTGGCAGGAACTGCCCAGGATTGCAGGGGGCGGGGGCTTCATTGCGAGGTTTGCTCGGAGGAAGTCCGGACCCAGCTGCGCACACTGACCCCCGTATCTGTCCTCGTTTCAGCTTACAGGACGCTGGCGTCGGGTTCATCCTGGTCATAGACCGACGGCGGGACAAATGGACCTCCGTGAAGGCGTCGGTCCTGCGGATAGCGGTAAGTCCCTGGGCTGGCGACAGCACAGTCGCCTTCACGGTGCCGCGGGGGGTGGGGGGTGGTGCTCCAAGCTCCAGCCGGGCTGGCGAGGCAGGCACCCAGCCCTCGCCTCCGGGCACCCGAGTCCCCGGGGCTTGTGTGTGCGTGTTCTCAGATGGGTCAGCTCCTAAGGAGTCTGTTAAAATCTGAAAACAATTTCCCCAGCCAGACGGTCGTCTATTTCTGGACGGTGAGTCTGTGAGATGCTCAAGATTTTAGCAGGCGGCGCAGGAATGGTGGGGAGGCAGGATCTGAGCGTGTCGCAGGGAGCCCTCGGGCTGGAAGTCTGAAATCGTACCGGACAGCCTCTCTTCTTCCCAAATAGGTTGTTCATCCGTTGTCTATAAGACTAAGATGCCGTAGTCTTCCCTGGTGGCCCAGCATCTGGTCACCTCCTTCCCCAGGCGTGGTCTTTGCCTACCGGAGGCCGTGTGCAGGTGTGCGCCGCGCTCCGTGACAGAGAGGCGCAGGGTGGTCGCTGCTTTTCGCCCACAGTGATCACGGATGGGGGAGATTGAGCTGGCAGAAAGCCCTGAGTCCTAGCTATTTCCGTTGGTGGCTCCCACCTCCGCGCAGGAACTCGCATGGCGCGCTCCCGCCCACCCGCCTCCCTGTCGTCAGTGTCAGCGTCGCCGCAGCCCAAGGACAGAAACGCTTCGGCGTCCGCGGGCCGGTGGTCCTCGCTGCGCAAGCTGCACTGCTCCACCCAGCCCCGGGGAGGTCAGGGTTCGAGATTGCCCTGGGGCTACCGGCCTCTCGGGGCAGCCGGCCGGGTTGGGGGTAGTGGGAGGGTCAGGCCCTTCCCCTGCACACGGCCCGTTGTTTCGCCTCCGGCAAGGATGGGGCTCAGCACCTGCCCCAACTCTCAGAGCCAGCCTCGTCGTCTTGCCGCAAGCCTGTCCCTACGCTGCTAGTTCTCAGGGGGTCGTGGGGATCCAGTGTCCCCCTGCGCACACGAACACGCACACATGCACACACGCAAACACATGCGAACACTCGCGTGCTGCGCACACGGCACATCTCTCTGCTGAGCTCCTGCGAGCCTGAGCCCCTCACCTCAGCGGACGACCTCGCCTGTCCCTGTCCCAACCTGGCATCATTGATCTGAAGTAACTTGGAGCGCGTCAGGGTGTTTGAAAAGAAGACGACATATCGTATAATCAGCGTTCCTTTGTTTTAACATCTCCTGTAAATTAGGAAGTACTTTTGATGAGCTATCACCAGTTAATAACCAGCCTGTCCATTTCATCATTTTAAATTTTAAAATGAATTTGCGTGTGATGTCATAGCAGCCTGCTTCAGAAACCGTGAGGATGACTGCCCCAGGCACACAGCGCCGCACCGCGAACATTTCCTGAACGGGCCGGACCCAGGGAGTTCCCGGCGCACACGTCACTGTTTGGAGACAAGACACACGGTTATGGCGGCGGTGTGTTTCAGATCCACCCGGCTCCTGCATGCTCCCCGCCGCCGCGGCGACCCGCTCAGCACCGTCGCGCTCCCTGGTGAGATGTGGGCGGTAGGAGCCCGCGTCCTTGCTGTGGTGTTCAGCGGTGTCAGGAGCCCCGTGAGGTGGGGTCCGAGCGCCTGTGGCCCCTCGTGCCTCCTGGCAGCGCGTCTCCGCCTATGCACACGCACCTCCGGGACACCGCCCCGGCCGCGGCCTGGCGCTCTCCTTATCCTCCTCACAGTGCTCACGCGGCACCTCCACGGGAAGCCCTCCAGCCTCCCAGGGCCAGACCTCGCTCAGCTCCTGCCCGGCTCCCACCTGCCATGTGCACGTCCCTAGGTGGGCGAGATGTCGCCAGCACCTTCGCCCCAGCCTCTCCTAGGTCAGGCCCACGTCTGACGGCAAGAGGCGCCCCAAGTACAAGTCTGCTTTTCCAGAAATTATTTTTGGAAACTGAGATAGTCCTGTGGGGTCAGCCCCCAGAGAGCAAGGTGGGCTCCACACCGCGTGGCAGCGCAGGAGTGACGTGGCTTATTCACCGTGGGCTGTGAGCGAGGAGCTCCTGCAGCCGCTGGCTCACCTTCAGCTTTGCTTCGGTTTCATAACTGAAACGTCAGTGTCTGCGCTTTATTCTTGCCATGACTCTTATATCAAAAAGATATGATTTTTCTGTTCTTTTTCCTGTAATTCTCAGACTTCACCAATACTGGTTTGGAAATAGCAAAAGTTTGCGTGTTTCCACCGAAGTTGTTAAGGATTCTCCTTGAACTCCAGAGCTTTCTTATCACAGTGGTTCACTAATCATATTAATGCAGATTCCATTCATGTGTTCACTCCCGTCCTGAGACGCTTCTGTGTGCAGCCCCCCCCGGGCACTGTGGTCTTCAAAGGGGAAGATGGACAGGAGCACCCAGCCAGGGACGGCATGGTCCCAGGAGCATGCAGCCCAGGAGCACCCAGCCAGGGATGTCATGGTCCCAGGAGCACCCAGCCAGGGACGTCATGGTCCCAGGAGCACCCAGCCGGGGACGTCGTGGTCCCAGGAGCATGCAGCCCGGGGGTACGCACAGCCCAGGGGACGCCATGGTCCCAGGAGCACACAGCCCGGGGCGCACAGAGCTGGGAGACAGCGGGACTCGGCCAGGCCTGGATGCGGGACAGACCGGGCATGTGCGGTGGGAAGGGCGGTGATGGGGTGGGAGAAGGTCCCTGGCTCTGTCCACGTGCTGCATGATGCCCGGGAGGCCAGGCCAGGGTCGACTCCACGGGTGCTGGGGTTGCCAGAGTCGCTCGGCTGACCTGATGGGGATGCCAGGCAAGGCAAGAGCTGGCACGTGGCTGCCACCACCTGGGCTGCAGGCCTCAGCAGGGGCTCGGCCTCCACACACATCCACCGTGGCTTCAGGGAAACCACACTCGGTGTGGCCAAGGCCAGCGCCCTGGGGAGGACTCCGAAGAGGCGCCAACACCAGCGAGGACGATTCTGCTGGAGCGCCCGGCTCCTGTGCTGTGGGGCAGGACAGAAGTGGTGGCGGCGGAGCCTTCTTTTACTGAGTTTGGCGCTTACGTAATGCGCTATAATTAAGCATCTGTTTTTAGCCACCATGTGTGCTATCTCATGAGCTGAGCTCTCCCTAATTTTGGATGTTCTTTTTTCTTTTTTGGATACCTTTAGCTTGGAATAGAAAAATAAGACACTGGAAGTCAGAATCCAATGTTCCCTAAATCGGACGCCCACGGACAAAGCCCCTGCTGGCTGTGACGGGGATTGGGTGAGGGGGTTGGGTCTCAGCCGACAGGCAAGGGCAGGACGGCGGGACCCTCCGCTGGGCATTCACACGTCGTCTCTTTCTCCGCCAACGTCAGCGTGAGGGCTGAATTGTCCTCGGATGGTGCGTCTCTTACAAACCCCCGACGTCCTCTCTCCTGGGATCGCGTTTCACAGTGTGCCCCTTCCGCTGTGCCGAGCGCGCGCGCGTGTTGTGTTCTTGGAGCCCGTGACAGAGTGCACACATCTGTGCTTAGAACTAGCTCGTTTAAAACTGGGTCTCTGCCCTAGAGCCTGTGGCTCAAGAATTTAAGTCATTTTCAGTCCGCGTGGGACCAGAATGTGGTTTCTGCCTGTGAGCCCCCGGAACATGCGTGTGGGCACAAAAGGCACGAAATGAAGGACGGAGGGACCCACGACTTCTGGTTCGTCCAGCGGATATTTCACACTTGGCAGAATGCGGCTGTGTGAGGTGCCGCAGTGGGATTCCCACCCTGCGCGGGTTCCAGGGCTCCAGGGTGCGCAGACGGCGGGACAGCGAGAGTCTGTGAAGATGGGGGGGCACCGTGGCTCCGGGAGGAGACGCTCCGCGAGCCCCACGATGGGAGGCCAGAGCTACCCCGGAACACAGGGTGGAGGCGAGAGCGTGTGGGGCGTGACGGGAAAGCACAGGCTTCCAGGGGGAGGGTCCCCCCCACCCGGGGCGCCCCCCAGGGACGAGGATCCGTCCCAAATGGTGGGGGCTGGACGGTGGTGCCCGGACACTGCTCAGGAGCCCCAGCCCTCGCTGAGGTGGCCGAGCCTGCCCAGGGTAGGACTGCCGTGCGCAGCGGGTGCCCACGCAGATGAGCGTGGCCCGGCTGAGCCCTGTTTTGGGGGACAGGTCCGGGCTCTGCTGGGCACCTGCTAAGTGCTAGCCGCTGTTGCAAAGTGCACTCAAACTCGACCCGTGTGCTTGCCAGCCTGCGTGGGCACCAGGCACGGGACCAGGGACCTGCAGGCAGCAGCACGCGTGTGGGCAGCCAGACCTTCCCGCCACGGCGGTCCCAGCCCGGCCCACGCAGAGGATTCCACAGGGGAGGCAGCCCCGAGACTCACACTGCAGGGCGGTCCCTTGCACAGTCTCCTCCGTGAAACGTTGGCCCTGCCTGCTCCTAGTTCATGCGGTTACCGTTTGTGCTCATGTCTGAGCAGTATTGCCGGGGTGGGGGCTCTCAGGTGGCCCAGCCCTTCCTCCCTGTGTGTCCTGCTGGACCCTGAAACCCCAGAGCAGTGGCTGCTGCACCTGCCCACTGTGCAGCTGCTTCTGGGGAGCTCAAGGGGCTGCAGTCGATGGTCGCGCCGCCGTGGTCGTTTCTGTTGCTACAGCAGAACCCCCGGGTCTAGGCCATTCATAAGGAAAGGGAGTGATTTTTCACAGCTGTGGGGCTGAGTGCTGCGTGCCGGCTCAGGCCTCTTTCTCTTCCTGCAAAGCCATGGTCCCCTCCCGCGCGACAACCCGCCCGTCTTCTGGTCCAACACTCCCCAGACGGGTTGGAGCCCGGACGGCCTCTTCTCTGCCGGACCCGCGGGACTGCCACGCCGGCGTGAGGTCTCCACATGGGTTTTGCAGGAGACAGACATTCACACCGCGGCGAATGTGTATTTCAAAATGGCTGAAAGAGTAGGTTTTCCATGTTCTCACCACAAAATAAAAAGTGTGTGAGGTGCTGGTGTGTCGATCGGCTTGGTGTATTCATTCCACATGTGTACATGTTGTTCATAAATTAAAAATAAAAATAAATTTTTGAGAAAGTTGAACAGAGAAAAGGAATAAAGAACGCGGGGTCGTTGCTGGCGCTCGGGGGCTCCCAGACAGGCCTTGCAGGGCGGGCTGTGCGCTCGCGAGGCTTCTCCAACACGGCGCTGTGTGGGGATCACATGTCTGCGGGGTTTATTTTTCGCCACTCAGAGCTCGTGGCACCTCGTATGCCGGCGACTCGAGCAGAGGCGGTGGGTGAGGGTGGTTGGGGGGTGGAGAGGCAGCCACGAAGTCAGTGGAGGGAAGAGACTTGAGGTGTATCGGCTCAGAGCCTTTTCCCCAACTTTTAATTTTGACAAATTGCAAACCCACAGAGAACTTGGGAGAGTAGTGCAGACACTGCACACACACACAGACACACACACGCACAGACACAGACACGTACTTGCAGGCACACGTTCATACACGTAAACACACACCAGACACACATGTATTATACATAGCACACAAGTACATCTACACATACAGACACACATGAACAAACATGCACATACACAAACACAGATACAAAGATACATACATGCAGACACAAACATGCACATTCGTACACATAAACACATGCAACAGACACACATGCATTGTACACAACACACAAGTACCCACACACACACACTCTTGTGCATTGTCGACCCAAGTGAATGGCTGAGGCAGAAAGTCTCAGTGGGGGTGTACTGGGCGGGAGTTGAGGACGTGCCCTGGAGAACACGCATGCAGACGGGAGCCCCCTCAGCTCTGTGACCCTGTATCAGGGGTTCGCGACGTCCCCAATAAAGACAGGGTCCCCTGGCAGACTGTGTTGCGAGAGATGAATGAAACAAAGACATGGAAACAGAAATAGTATTTAAGAGAGCAGGGAGGTCAGGGGACCACCAGCACTCTGGTGCCAAGGTGGCGACGACTGAAACCCAGCACTTGCTTTTTATTCTCTTTGCCATGTTGCAAAATACAATGATCTCATGTGAAAAAAATCACAGGATACAATGATCAAAGGTTTCAGGGCTCCCCCAAAATCACAAGGTGTACTAGCTAATGTCCTTCTCCTTTCTAGAAGTGAAAAACACATAATTCTTCAGTAGGTACAATCCATTTGATCAAGGTAAACTAACCGATTTTATCCCAAGCTCAAGCTATGTACATGGATATCAATCTCTAACTTCAGTAGCTGTGACCCGTTTGCTCAAGGAACAGAGAAACTACACGCTTTCCACTGGGAGAGTAGTTTCACATTAACTGAGGCATTGTTGAGAGAAGGGAGAGAAGGAACTTGGCCCAGTGCTCAAACAATGGAAGCCTTGAGACCCTTCTCCCTGGCTGACACATGGCAGTCTACCTCCACAGCCATGAGAAGTTTCCACGTCAGGCCGCCTGCAGCTTTTCAGGCATGAGACCCCTCAGGCTCTGAGGTGGAGCGTGCTTCACTGTACTCCCAGATCGCTGAGATATGTCCCCCAACTAGGCAGTTAACATCTGCCCTAATTTCAGGCTTCTGCTCAGGCAATTCCTTCACCTCCTCCCCTCTCATAACCTCAGACATAGCATCCCTCAGTCCCAGTGGTCTTAATCCCATCAACCCTGGGGCTCTTCTGACGCCGGGTGGCGGGCGTGGCAGGGTGGATGCTGGACAGCCCGTCGGCCAGGATGCTAGCGAGTTGGCCCCCCTCTGTTCCTGCTGCCGTATTTGTTCCCGGCTGCAGGCCCCTCCCATCCTTCCGTGTGTGTCTGTGTTTTATGTGCGTTTGACCTCGTGACACAGATGTCGAACTCACTGCTTCAGACTCTGTTTCTGGTGACCGGCTCTCCCTGGGTCTCGGGGTCTGGACATAACTCAGCCCGGGAGCGGCCTTACCTGCACGACTGTCACTTGGGCGGCGCTAGCTCTGTGCCAGGCGCTGTGCTGAACGCCACAGACGCCTCTGGTCACTCCGCCCTCGAGAGTGTGGTGAGGCCGGGCGTGGTGGCTCACGCCTGTAGCCCCAGCACTTTGGGAGACCGAGGCAGGAGGGTCGCTTGGGCCCAGGAGTTCAGGGCTGCCGTGAGCTGCGATCGCGCCACTGGGCGACAGAGAGTCGAGGCAGGCACTGCTGCCAGCCCGTTTTGCAGATGGAGGGACCGAGGCACAGAGAAGTGAGGACCTTGCCCAGGGTCGCACACCTTGTGAGTGGCAGAGCCGGGGACCAAACGCGTTCGTGTCACTGTGTGCAGGGCGTGTGTGTGCACACCAGGTGTGAGCTCATTTTATTTTTGTGTTAGGCAGTGCTCATATGTGTCTATGTAGCGTGTTTCCACTGCACACATGCGTTGGTTTCCTGGGGCTGCTGGAACAGCCTGTGCAGACGGGCGGCTCAAACCACAGGAAGTGGTTCTCTCGGTCCTGGAGCTTGGCGTCTGCGGTCGGGGTGTCGGGGGCTGGCTCCTCCTGGGGCCGTGCGAGGGGTCAGTTCCAGGCCCCCGTCCGGAGGTCCTTGGCGCTCCCCAGCTTGTAGGCGCATCTGCCACCTCTGTCCCCGTCGTCACACCTCCTCCCTGTGCCCGCACTGTGTCCAGACGCAGAGGTCCCCTTCACAAGGACACTGGCAGGCTGGGTTCGGGCCCTAATGGCCTCGTTTTGGCCGGGCCCCTCCGTGAAGACCCCGTCCCCAGACAGGGCCACACCTGCGGCGTCGGGACTCACGTGCGAGCTCCGCAAGGACGCCGGCCAGCCCCTCGCAGCTGCGGTAAGCTTCGGCCCCGAGCACGTGAGCAGCGCCGCAGACCTGTGCCGAGCGACGAGTGGGCTCTTCCTTTTCTTTCGAGAGACGGCAAGAGGGGCGAGTGGCAACAGCCGTGTTACCCGAGCACAACCACGACCCCGTCGGGACGCTGCCGTGTGGTCGCTGCGGGGTGGCAACGCCCCACTTCGGGCCGCGCCGTCCACGGGGTTGACGCAGGCCCCCCCCCTCTCCCGCAGGCGTCGTTCCCGGCAAACCTGCAGCTCGTCCTCGTTCTTCGCCCAACCGGATTCTTCCAGAGGACTCTGTCCGACATCGCTTTTAAATTCAACAGAGATGACTTCAAGATGAAGGTGCCGGTGAGTGCGCCCGCGAAACGGGGCGAGTCGCCCTCTCCGCGCCTCCGGGGCAGTCACGATTCTGCAGGGGCGACCCAGTGGGTGGCCACCGGGCGACCTCGAGGGTGACCTCGCGGGGCGTTTAGCAGGAGCAGGGACCAAACTGCCCGCTTCCAGACCAGAGCACTGTTCGATCGGTCTTGCAAGTTCCGCCTGCCCTGCGGGCGGTCACCTGCCAGAGGTCTGCCGCGTGCGCTGTCAAGGTTTGCGCGCGTTGACGGCCAGCACTGGCTCCTCGCCGCAGGCCTGTGAGATTAGTTGTCGCGCGCCCATTTATGAGCGAGAAGCTGAGGCGGAATCGGCGGTTCGCCGGGCGTGGAGCAGCCAGGAGGCAGCGCCGGGACTGACCCGGGTCTGCTCCAGGCCACGGCCAGACGCCTCCGTCTGCGCTGTCGCCGCGGCGTCCAGGGCGGGGACACGGCCCCTCTGAGCCGCTGGACCTTCTGCCGTGGGGGTGGTTCTTGCTGGGAGCCAGCCGTGCTCCCAGAGGCGCAGCCCCGAGCGCCGTAACCCGGTCCCTCCCCTCCAGGTCATAATGCTGGGCTCAGTACCAGAGCTACACGGGCACATCGACAAGTCTCAGCTGACCGAGGACCTCGGGGGGACACTGGATTACTGCCACACCCGGTGGCTGTGCCACCGCACAGTGAGTGGGTTGGGTGCTCGGTGGGTCGAGGTTCCTGTTAATTCCTAGTTAATCCGACAGAACCGCTTTTGCATTACCGTGGCGCCTTTTCCAAAAACATGTTCACGTTAGCACGAGCTTGCTTCCCCAAGAATGAGGAGATGGTCTCAGTGGACCTGAGTCATTGTAAAGAAATAACATGAGTAATAAGTTTGGGAGTAGCTTTCTCTGGGCTTGGAGACAAAAAAGGAAAGGAAAAACACAAAACAAAACCCTACGTTGTTGTGCTTTGCGACACTCACACCTCTCAGCACGGAGGGAGAGAGAGACTTCCAGCACAGAATGACTCTGGGCGATGGGGAATTTGCAAAGCCTGCCTGGTATGTCCTGAAACGCACGGCATTGGGAAACCGGGGAAGGCGTTTCCTCTTATGTACACATCAGCCGGCCTCGCGTTGGCCGCTGTTCTCCCGAGATGCCCCGGCCGGTCTGCATCTCAGCGGTGACCCTGGGGGGTCGGCTTTCCGAGCGGCAGGGGGCGCGGGCGGGCACAGCGGTGACCGCGTCTTCCCTCCCCCGAGGCGATCGAGAGCTTCGCCCTCATGGTGAAGCAGACGGCCCAGATGCTGCAGGCCTTCGGCACCGAGCTGGCCGAGACGGAGCTGCCCAACGACGTGCCGTCCACGAGCTCGGTGCTCTGCGCGCACACCGAGAAGAAGGACAAAGCCAAGGTACGTGCGGCTTCCGCGGGGCACTGCGGCGAGGCAGCGCCGTAGGTCTTCCCAGCTGTGGGCGAAACGGTGGCGGAGGAAGGGTCGGTGTCGGCGCCGGGCAAGACTGAGAATCCAAGCAGGTTCCGAAGATGCCTTTGGGCCGCGGCTAGCTGGGCAGCCTCTCCACTGACAGCCGCACGCGCTCCTTTCTGAAAGCGGCGTGCGTGCGCCCTGCCGGCTGCAGGCTGCGGTTCACATTCACGGGCCAACGTCAACTCGGCCTCAGCCCAGCGCAGCCTACGTCACGCGCGGGGTCCGGGCAAACTGAGGACCCAGGGCTATCCTCTGTCCGGGGGCCGGCAGGGAAGCGGAGGTTGGAATCCTGCGCGTGAGGCCCTGGGTGGCCATGTTCGGAGGCAGTGAGCTCCCCGCGTCTGCGGCACCCCAGCCCACCTGTGCGCTCGTGGCCCTGAAGCGGCGTGGCCCGGTGGCCGTGACCTGCTGGCCCGTCCCTGGAGGACTGTGCCCTCTGTTTGCCAGGAGAGCCGCTCCTCCCTGCAAATGGCCCTTCGCGCCAAGCAGCGAGGGCGGCTGCAGGAGCAGGGACACTTAGGTCTGGTTTCCAGTCCTTTCTCTGCCTCGGCCTGCGGCCCTGCACACCCCGGGCTGGGAGTCCCCACCCCGCCCCGTGTGCCACGCAGACGAGACCCCGGGGGATCTCGCCGCTGCCCCACTGCGCGATGCCAGGCCGGGAGCTGTGGCGAGGCTGTGCTGTCCCCGCAGGAGGACATGAGGCTGGCGCTGGAGGAGGGCCGCAGCGTCCTGGAGAGCATCAGCGCACCGCTGGCCCAGGGCCCAGAGCATGGCGTGAACCAGGACCAGCTGGACAACCAGACCACTGTGCAGAGGTGAGGCCCGGCCGCCTGTGCCCCTGCCCTGGCCAGGGTGCAGCAGCCGCCCACGGCCCCTGTGAAAGGAAGAGGCCGCAGGCCGGGAAACAGTGACCGTCCGGCACCGAGGCCAGTGGCCGCCTCCCCGAGCCTCTGCGCGAATGTCACTCCTTCCTGCTGCGATGCTTCATCCTGACCCCAGAGCAAGCGGCCTGTCTGGGGAGGACACTGCGGGAGCAGACACTCCTTCCCATAGGCATGAAGGGGACATTGGGCAGAGCGGTGGTGACACGGCACATGGGCCTGGGTGGCTTCTGTGTCCCGAGCAGGTCATTTGTGGACGGGGACGGCGGGGGCTCTCCCTGAGGATGCTGGGAAGCATCCTGTCACCCTGTCATGCGAGGTGTGAGCTGCGCACTTGCCCTGGGTTTCCAGCCTTGGAACAGGGCGCAGGTGACACGCCGTGGGCTAGCGGGTGTCGGCTGCCGCCTCGCAGGCTGCAGGGTCCGGGACCGCCAGTCCACGCCCGTCCATCCGCGCAGGCAGGCGCTGGCGTCTCCGCCTCGTGGTGAGGACCAGGCTCGGGTAGCGGGGGGACTCGCCCGGCAGTGCCACAGACGCAGCCCCGGGCTGAGGCCGACTCTGCAGACCCCTGAGCCCTGTTCTGGGCTCGGCGGGGCCCGCACTAGCAGCACCTCTGCCAGGGACACCGGGAGGCCCAGGGTGCGGGGGACACACCCCAGAGGGCTCCCATGGACATGGGACACAGGCAGAGGTTGCCCAGCTGTAAGGGACGGGGTCCCAGCTCCACACCGGCACCTCGTCAGCTTCCGCAGGACTCGGTTTCCTCGTCTGTGAAATGGAGCAAATCCGACCACACACCTGGCCAGGAGGCTGGGGACTGAGTGGGGACAGGGGCAGCGCCTTGTGCGCAGGAGCCCCCAGGCCAGAGGCGGATGGCCCAGCCGCCTTCACCCCTGAGCTAGAGTGTATGTAATGAGCCCAAACCCTGCCTCCTTGGCCTTTTAAAATTAGCGAACTTGGCCTGGCACGATGGCTCACGCCTGTAATCCTAGCACTCTGGAGGCCGAGGTGAGTGGATCACTCAAGGTCAGGAGTTCTAGACCAGCCTGAGCAAGAGCGAGACCCCGTCTCTACTAAAAAAACAGAAATTATCTGAACAACCAAAAATATATAGAAAAAATTAGCCAGGTATGGTGGTACATGCCTGTAGTCCCAGCTACTCGGGAGGCTGAGGCAGGAGGATTGCTCGAGCCCAGGAGTTTGAGGTTGCTGTGAGCTAGGCTAATGCCACAGTACTCACTCTAGCCCGGGCAACAGAGTGAGACTCTGTCTCAAAAAAATACAATAAAATTAGCAAACTCAGCTCACTCTGCTGGGAGTGCGACAAGAAGGGGAGGCCCCACCCCAGCCTCTCCCACTCCACCCGCGAGTTCTTCCACTGCTCTGCGGGACTCGCGTGTGCTCCTGTGGGGTGCCCAGGGGGGCGGTCCCCCCACGCGACACAGGAGGGCCAAGGCCGTGTCCTCCTCTCCCAGGCTCCTGGCCCAGCTGAGCGAGACGGAGGCGGCCTTTGACGAGTTTTGGGCAAAGCACCAGCAGAAGCTCGAACAGTGCCTGCAGCTGCGGCATTTCGAGCAGGGCTTCCGGGAGGTGAGCGCGGAGCCTGCGAGTGGGGGCCTGTCCCCCCAACCCCCACTCCCTGTGTGCGCCTGTCCCCCCAGCCCCGCCCCATGTGCGCTCCCCCGCACCGTGACCCCCGCCCGGGGCTTCGGGTCGCCTGGGGTACACGCCCCTTCTCAGGACTATCTCTGCTGAGGAAAATTAAAGCTTTTGCATTTAAAGGGACGAGGTGTGGCATATTTGAGAAATCACGTATGCAAAACCCTGAGTCTTGCTGCCAACACCAGCAATGCTGGGCGTCCGGTGTTCGTGCCGGGTGGGACGGAAACCCGGGCAGAGCCCCCCAGGCCACGCGCCCCCCGCCCCCCTACCCCCGGCTCCGTTCCCGCCAGCGTCTCTCCAGTCGGTGCAGACGCCCCTCCTGTGTTGCAGGTCAAAGCCACCTTGGATGTGGCGTCCCAGAAGATCGCGACCTTCACCGACTTGGGCAACAGCCTGGCTCACGTGCAGCACCTGCTGAGAGACCTCGCCGGCTTCGAGGAGAAATCCGGCGTAAGGGCGGCGCTGCGGGTGGCTGGGGGGAGAGCTCACGGTGTCGCCGGGGGTGGTCGGGCTGGGCGTCCCCCCATGGGAGGAGAACCCTCATGGGCTGGGGTGCAGGGACCCTCCGCCTGCCCCTCCTCATGCCCCGCCCGAGGCCCTGGCCCTGCCCTGCGACCTCCGGGTCAGTCTCCGCAGACGGACGGTGCCTTTCTGGGACCACCGTGGCCCCCAGGAGCGTTTGCCCCAGGACAGCTGATGGGACTGGGTGGCATTTCAGTGACCGCAAACAAGGGGAAATGACACGCGTCCCGTACCTCTGGGACACACCCCTTGTGACCGGGGGCCCCGTATGTCTCTAACGGAAGTGACCTGAGCTGGCCTCCCGGTGCCTGTCCCGCAGGTGGCTGTGGACAGGGCGCAGACCCTGTGTCTGGATGGCGAGCGGCTCATCGAGGACCAGCACTACGCCGTGGACTCGATCCACCCCAAGTGCGAGGAGCTGCGGCACCTGTGCGACACGTTCGCCGCGGAGGTCGGGAGGAGGAGGGGGCTGCTCGGCAAGTCCCTGGAGCTGCACGGCCTCCTGGAGACGGTAGGCGGGCGGGCCGCCGCTCCACCCACGCCCACCACGGGCTGGCCCACCAGCGGGCGGATCAGATTCACGGGTTCAGAATGGCCCGGACAGCCGAGTCCCCCGGTAGAGCCATCTGTCCCCTGGAAGTCACTGGGCACAGCAGTGATTTCCTTGAAAGGACCCGAGACTCGGCGCGCCAGTTAGCTGCTGCGCTGCGCCTGTCTCTTCCCCGTCACAGCTGTAGGTGCGCGTCCAGCCGGGACCGCGCTCGGCCTCGCAGAGGGCTCTGTGCCCTCGGGGTCCTCTGGGCTTGGCGGCAGAGGCGTGGCCGGCGTCTTAGGTGCTCCCCGAACCCGGAGTCGGCGGACGGTGTGTCAGGCGGTGAACGGGTGCCCCGAGCAGGTTCAGCCCCTCACGGTGTCCTCCCTCCCGCCCGCTTGTCCCCAGTCCATGAGGTGGTGTGACGAGGGCATCTACTTGCTGGCCTCGCAGCCGGTGGACAAGTGTCAGTCCCAGGACGGGGCCGAGGCCGCCCTCCAGGAAATCGAGAAGTTTCTGGAGACCGGTGCAGAAAATAAGATCCAGGAGCTCCCCCAAATTTACAAGGACTACGAATCCATCCTCAACCAAGACCTGAGGGTAAGGCCGACACAGGCGTTGCCCCGGCCCGGCCGTCCTGAACGGTGGGAGTTACTTTGCGCAGCGTCCGAGAGACTCGTTCAACGCGTTGTCAGCAGACAGAGGGCGTTTGGGAGAGGGGCAGAGACGGCACAGAAATAATTCCGTGCCTGCCTCGCGAGGGGGCCGTCCTGCCCCCCGGCCGGCTCCGTCCCATGGGCAGGTGCCGTAGGAGGCACCGTCCTCCAGGACCCTGGTCACGCCAGGCGCCCCCGATCCTGCACTGGAGCTGGGCTCCCCCCAATCCCGACCGTCCCCCGAGTCCCACCCTCGGGGCGACCGGGAGACGTCCACTCCACTCCTGCGGCCGAGGCGGCCCTTCGGGTACCTGGGACGGCTGCCAGGCCCCGCCAGGAGCTGAGCGTCCTCTGGGCAGCATCCCTCAGACCCCACCATCCACGGTACCGATGGACGCCACGTGACGGACATTTAAAACCGAGGCACATCCCGGGCATGGAGGCTGCATCCTCAATGACGTTGTCACGCCGCCCCTCCCTCGCGTCTTACCGAGGCTGCCGTCTCGTTCCAGGAGCACGTGCAGAAGGTCTTCCAGAAGCAGGCGAGCATGGAGGAGATGTTCCGCCGCAGGCAGGCCAGCCTCAAGAAGCTGGCGGCCAAGCAGACGCGGCCCGTGCAGCCCGTGGCCCCCAGGCCGGAGGCCCTGGCGAAGTCGCCCTGCCCTTCCCCAGGTGCGTGGCTCCTTGCACCTCTGCGTGTGGGGCCACTCGGGGCGCTCGGACAATGAGGAGACCATGCGGAGTCTCCACGCGCCCCTCCCCGCCTCCGCTGGGCCCCGTCCGGGTCGGCAACCTCCACCCCAAGGGCCGATTCCCACCCAGCATGTGTTTCCGTGACGGAGCCTTACGGGGCGCGGCCACGCTCTCTCTCTCACGTGCTGTCTCTGGCTGCTCTCGCGCCAGGCCGGCCGAGTCGGTCGTTTCGGCCACATCCATGTGGCCCACAGAACTGAAACGCTGACGGCTGCAGAGCCCCCTGACCTCTCCCCGGGCCGCACGACCCACCTGTTCTCAGAGCCCAGAGGTGTCCCTCGCCCTCCCTCGGACCTCCGCCCAGAGCCCTCCTGCGCGGCCCAGCCCGCCAGGCCACGCGGCTGCCCACGGTGGCCCCACCCCACACCCATGCTCCGTGGCCAAGCCCAGGGCTGCTTCTGGGAGGTATTTCCCTGTCACTCCCCGCCCCCCGCCTCGCTCTTCCTGTCTTCGCCGAATATCATGGCCAGGTCAGTCGTAAATTCCCAGGAGCCCTCGAGAGCCGGCGCGGCAGGTCCGGAGACCAGGAGACGTGGTTTGCTGGTGTGTCTGGAAACCGCGCGGGCCAGTCCGCAGGCGTCCTCACCCGGGGCTTCTCCCCGTGGCCCACCACTCCCGGGCAGCCCTTGCCGCCCCGCCAGACCCCCTGACCCTGGAAGCCCCGGACCTTCCTCGCTCTCGTCTGGGCCCCGTGCTGCTCTCCTCGCAGGGACAATGCCGTGCTCAGGCTGCGGCTTCCCTCCCAGGCCACTGCGCACCGGGCTGACGCCGCCTTCTCCACTTCTTTCCAAACAGGCATCCGGCGAGGCTCGGAGAACTCCAGCTCCGAGGGCAGCGCGCTCCGGAGAGGGCCCTACCGGAGGGCCAAGGTGAGGGCCCTGCACTGCGCGGCCCATCCTCACGTCCTCACATCCTCGTGCCACGGTGTCCTGGGGAGGGGACCCCTCCTCCTCCTCCTCCTCCTCCTCCTGGGTGGACCAGCCCGGCTTCTCTGGGAGGTGCCTCCTCCTTCCCTCCTGCCCCAAACCCGACGCTGTTCCTCTCCGCAGAGCGAGATGAGCGGCAGGCAGGGCCGCAGCGGCTCCGCGGGGGACGAGGAGGAGAGCCTGGCCGTGCTGCGCAGGTGGGTGGGCTCCGGCCACGGCGGGCTCTGCGCCGACACGCAGCGGGGCTCACGCCTATGGCCGTGAGCGCCCGGACGTAGGGACGGACCACGTGCCCTCCAACGCTGCAGAATGGCGTGTAGCTGGCTTCAAGGACTGTAAGCCGGCGTGCGTGCGTGTGCGTGTGCATGGGCTGTGCACACGGTAAACACGTCCGCTTGGCATCGCCGTGTCTGAGGGAAAAGAAATTTACGTTTTCCTTAGAAAAGCCCCGTCCTGCCGCAGTGCTCGGGTGTGCGCTTCGGGGATTCGGATGTGGGGTCCTCCCTGCCCCGGCCCCGCGTGAGGAGCCCCTAGGGTGGTGCAGGACGTGAGGCGGGAGCCGCCGCCCTCCCGCCAGCCCAGGGGCGAGGGGCTGCTGCACACCTGGCTGTTTCCCCGACCCCACGCCCACCTGGGCGTCCCGCACACCCCGCCCTCCCGAGAGCAGCTGGGCCGAGACGCTGCCTGGCGCTCGTCCCCACACAGCCCGCCTTCCAGCGGAGCCGGCCGCTGGCTCCTCGCGCCCTGCCCTGGCACCTTCGCCCCCGCGAGCAGAGCTCAGAGCCCGCCCCTGGGAGCCCCGTCCGCCCCCGACGCCCGGCCGCACCCTCCTCCTGACACGTCCCCTGGACGTCGCTGTCCCTCGTGCACCCCGACGGCAGCGTCCCCCTCGCGCTCCGAGGGCTGCAGGCAGCAGACGGGGGTCCTCGGGCGAGGTCACCGGGGGTTTCAGCCAGGGGCAGCGGATGCCCCACAAGCACCTCGAGGTCCCGTGTGTGGCTCACTTCACATGTCTGGTGCCACACAGCACACGCGTGCTCCCCACACACGGCTGGTTCGACTGTAGGGGGCGAGGGTGGTGAGGCAGGGGAGTCCCAGGGAGAACACCCCGCCCAGCAGGAGGCTCCGTTCACAGCCCCACAGCCACTGGCCACAAGGAGGTTTGAGCACAGGAAACGTGTGTGCGACGTGGCAGCTGGATGCGTTGTTTTATTTAAGTGGCCACACGTGGCCAGCGGCTGCCGTGGTGGGCGGCGTCTTCCCGACCCCGTTCCCCGGGGCCTGCCGGGTCCTCACAGCAGGGAGCGCCGTGGGTATAGAGTGGCAGCTCCCTGCCTCGGCCTCTGCCCCCTGTGCAGAAGCACGACCTCACCCCAGGGCCAGCGAAAGTGCGTGGGGGGTTGAGTTGAGAAGAAGGCAAAACACCCGCCACGTGCACGGGAGGCATCGGTACCCAGAGCTGCAACCGCAGCCCCGTTAGGGACAGAAGAGAACCGCTGGTGCGGCCCCGCCGACCGTCTCTTCTTGACGTGTGCCTTGGGTGCGCCTGGAGCGTGGTCTCCCCTCTGAGCGTCGTTAACTCCAGAATTGAGGAGGAGGAGAAGGCTCTTCTGGCATGTTGCGGAGCAGGTGCACGCACCAGGGTGCACGCGGCAGTTCTCCGCGTCCTCCGGCACGGCGGTGTCTCAGGCCACCAGAGAGCGGAGTCTGGAATCAGAGTAAACTAAGCTTGGGGTGAAAACAGCCCTGTCACTTCTGCCTCTGGTGGAAGCCGGTGGGACTGATGGGCAGGGGCTGTCCAGAAGCTTCCAGAGGGGGAGGAGCCCTAGGCCCTGAGTGTGCGGGAGGTGGCGGGGCAGCTCGCGGCGGTGCGGGGTCCTGAGACGCTGTGATACTCGGCCACCGCATCCAGGCTGGGGGCACGGACACCGTGAGCGGCACACGGAGGGCTCTTGGTGCCCCGGTGGCTTCAGAATCGACCTTCTCAGTAGTCTCAACCCGGGAACAACCTGCTGGCTCCAGGGTCTGTGTTCTAGGAGGTCGGTGCCTCCCCTGAAGAACAGGGAGACCCGCGTAGCCCACTCGGACCCACTTCTGGGATCCACAGCCCCTGGGGGCTGCGTCAGGAGGGTGGTGGGTGGCGGCCGGCTACACTGAGGCCAGAGCCACCCCCAACGTCTGAGCCCACAGGTGGGGCGGCCGGGTCGGGGCCGGGGTCTTCCGGTGGCCCGTGAAGAGCACGGGACTGGATCCCGGGGCTGACTGCGATACATGTGGGGGCTCGAGCTCACTTTGCACAGGGGGGACCCAAAAGCCTGGGAGGTGGGTCGGGGAATCCGCTCTGCAAGGCCTCGAGTGCCAGGTGGAGGGGGGTCCAGCCGCGGTCCCCAGGGTGTGAGGAGCGTCCAGTGCCTGGACCGAGCGTCACTCCCGTCCCCTGGGGCGTGGCACGTCACCGTCTGTAGAGGCCGCGGCTTCCTCGTCCACGGTAGGACGTCACGCTGGCCACGCCCCCACGCCGCCCCGGCCCTAACCTGCCTCTGCCCGCAGGCACGTGATGAACGAGCTCCTGGACACGGAGCGCGCCTACGTGGAGGAGCTGCTGTGCGTGCTGGAGGTGAGGCCGCCCGGGACTGGCGCCCAGACACGGCGTTCACAGCCACTGACGGCCGTGCGGGGGTGTTCGTAGCACAGGGGGTGGTCACGGCAGTGTGGACACATGCCTGAGTCATTCAGTTGTGCACAGGTGGTGGTCACGGCAGTGTAGACACTTGTCTCAGTCATCTAGGTACCCACAGGGTGGTCACGCCAGTGTAGACACCTGTCTGAGTCACCCAGGTACCCACAGGGGTGGTCGCGGCAGTGTAGACACCTGTCTGAGTCACCCAGGTACCCACAGGGGGTGGTCACGGCAGTGTAGACACATGCCTGAGTCATTCAGTTGTGCACAGGTGGTGGTCACGGCAATGTAGACACCTGAGTCACCCAGGTACCCACAGGGGATGGGCACAACAGTGTAGACACCTGTCTGAGTCACCCAGGTACCCACAGGGGGTGGTCACGGCAGTGTAGACACCTGAGTCACCCAGGTACGGCAGTGTAGACGTTTTAGAGCTGTGCCCTGTGTCAGTTTCCCCTGAAAGTAAAAGGTAAAAGGAAGGAGGACGGACTCCCACCACCCAGAAGTCGGTGCTGTTTGCAACGCAGCCGTGTTCAACCCTGGGCTGCTCTGCCAGAAAATCACCTCAGAAACAATCCATGAGTAAATCTGAGCGGATTCGCCTGTCCACACTGAGACGGGGTCACCCAGCCCCGCCGGCTCCCCGTGACCGTGGCTGAGAGGTGGCCGGGGCAGCTGCCGCGACCCCGCCTGACCTCGCGTGTGGGCGTGGCCCAGGCCTTGCTGCCACCTGTCCCTCCCTGCAGGGCTACGCGGCGGAGATGGACAACCCCCTGATGACACATCTCATCTCGACAGACCTGCACAGCAAGAAGGACGTCCTGTTCGGAAACATGGAGGAGATCTACCACTTCCACAACAGGTGGGCCCGTCCTCCGCGCACACTCGCAGGTGCTTGGCGATCGCTGCCTCTCGGGGGCGAGCTCTCGGGGGCCGTAGGCGCGAGCGGGGTGTCCAGGCGCGTCCTCTGAGTGCCGTGTGGCGCCTCGCTGACCAGGGCCGGCGGCTGAGCCAGCCGCGAGCTGCTGCCCTGGGAGGAGGGAGCCCCGCCTGCCCTCCTGGTGCTCGGAGGAGCAGAAGGGTCCCCGACGCTGCGCATTTGGCACTTGGGGGGCGGCAGAGGCCACACCGCTCAGCGAGTCCGTTTGTTCCCACGCGGCTATGCAGAAGGAGGCAAACCAGACGCGCCTCACGTGCGGCACTGTCACCCGGGGCCGCCTCTCCTCCACTCCGTCGCGCTCCCTGTATTTTAACAATTTGCCGGAGCCCGCGGGGACACGGTCATGTGGGCACCCAGTGCCGGCACCACAGGCAGGCAGAGGGAGGCCACACAGAGGACCCCACTCTGCAGAGCTGCTCTCAGGAGTCGGGGACCGTGGGGACTCCTGTCATCAGCTCGTCCCACCCACCACTTACGAAGGAGGCCACAGGTAGCAGCTGACCTGCCCGGGAGCCCCCACTCCCTCCCGCAGTGGTTGGGCAGAACATGTTTTTTTTCTTTTGAGACACAGTCTCACTGTCACCCGGGCTAGAGTGCCGTGGCGTCAGCCTAGCTCACAGCAACCTCAAACTCCTGGGCTCAAGCGATCCTCCTGCCTCAGCCTCCTGAGTAGCTGGGACTACAGGTGCATGCCACCATGCCCGGTTAATTTTTCTGTTTTTAGTAGAGATGGGGTCTCACTCTTGCTCAGGCTGGTCTCGAACTCCTGACCTCAAGCGATCCTCCCGCCTCGACCTCCCAAAGTGCTGGGATTGCAGGCGTGAGCCACCATTCCTGGCTTTGAACCTCGGGAATCAAGAAGATTCCTTAGCATCCTCAACGCCTCGGGGTCACGGCCAGTCTGTCGCGCTAGAACCCCAAATTGATCCCCAAGGCAGCTTCCCCTCCGCCAGGATGTCCCCCAGGGCACAAAAGCAAATCAGAGACTTAGAGGGGAACCAGCCCCAGAGCGTGGGACAGTGCTGCGGATGGAGGGTCCCTGCCCGTGAAGGCTCTGGGTCCCGTCTGCAGGGAGCCACACGACGGCTGGTTGTGGGGGCAGAAGTGTCCATCTCTGTCCTGGCCACGCCCTCGTCCTGGCTGTGCTGACGTCAGAGCAGCTCTCTGCCCCGTGTACACACCAACGCCGGGACACGGAGGGGCCCGCCTGGGGCTGCGAGTGCTGTCCCCCGAGGGCCTGGCCGGGAGGGCTGCTGTCCGGGGGCCTGCGGTCAGGGGCTTTGTCGCCACGTGGCGGCTTGAATTGTCCGGAGTAAAGTACGGGAATCTGCTGGAAAACGACCTCCGTTAACTGTGGCTGGCGCCGCCTGACTCAGGTTGTTTTCACGTGACTCGAGAACCCCCTGTCTAGGATATTCCTGCGGGAGCTGGAAGCCTACGCAGACTGCCCGGAGCTGGTCGGGAGGTGCTTTCTGGAGCGGGTATGTGTCTGTCACAGCTGCTTGAAATGACTGAATAACGACCTTACATCCTGCCGCGCGGCCCGCTTCTCACCAACTGAAACGACAGAGTACAAATGTTTTCAGTTTGGCTGAGATGATGTATTTGGGGGAAGGACTGAAAGAATAGAATTTTTTTTAAACTCCAATAACTAGTTCAAAAAAGAGAAAACCTATAAAACTTAAGCTTTAGTGAATGCTGGAGTTTTATAGTGTCTAAGTTTTATTGTCTTTTTTTTTTAATAATTTTTAAGATAACACACTTAGCCACACCTAAGTGTGCCTAAGTGTTAAATGCAGGCCTTAGATGAAGCTGGGATTTTCCATGGGCTGCTGGTTTGGTTTCGCGCTTGCGGGGCTGGGTGGCCTCACACGCTGGGTGAGATTGGACGAGCCACTCGACCTCTCTGGCAACACGCTGGCACCAAGAGGCAGACGGGAGGAAGGAGGAGCAGTGGTCGTGCTCTGTGTGGCCTGGCTGCAAGTGCTGCTTGCGGGTGCCGCCTGCGAATGGGGCTGGGGACCCTCCCGTGGGTCGGGGACTGTTGCGTGGGCCCCGATCGGCAGCCGCAGCAAATCCTGGGAACTGATCGGAGATGCAGATTCTCGGGTCCCACCGCATCAGACCCCCGGGCGGGGCGATCTGTGTTGTGAAGGGTGTGGCGGCCCTGCCGCCGTCCGCGAGGCGAGGGAGGTCTTCCCCTAGAAGTAGGAGTCTGCGACGGTCCTGCACGTGTCCTTGGCAGCCTGTTCCCATGGCAAAAACCAGCACGTGGAGCTACCTTTCTAGTAATGAAAAAGGTACTAGGCCTGCTGCCTCCCTGGGAAGTGACCTTCTGGTGGGAGCTGTCACCTGGCTGCCCAGACACGAGGACGCGGTGTCAGGGGGGCGCCCTGGGGCCCTGTGCTCGGCCGCGTGGACCCAGTGGGCCTGGGTGTCCAGGGCTTGGACGCTGACGGACGTGTCACCAGCCTCACGGCAAGGAGGCTGTCCACCGGGTCTGCCACCTGCCCTCACAGCCCGCGGCCCTGCTCCGGCTGAGGGTGGACGAGGGAGCCTTGCCCAGGGGCAGCTTTGACGTCAGATCCAGCCAGAGAGGGCTCTGCAGTGAGGGGAGGGGGGATCCAGGGGTGCAGCCTGTGGGGAGCACACCCTGCCTTTCCCAGAATGAGCCAGGACGAGGGGTATCTAAGGCTCCCGCAGGAACCATCCTGCCCTTAGACCCCTCTGTGCCCTAGAACCTTCCATGCCCTAGAACCTTCCATGCCCTGGAACCCTCTGCGCCCTAGAACCCTCCATGCCCTGGAACCTTCCATGCCCTATAACCCTCTGTGCCCTGGAACCTTCCATGCCCTGGAACCTTCTGTGCCCTGGAACCTTCCATGCCCTGGAACCCTGTGTGCTCTGGAACCTTCCATGCCCTGGAACCCTCTGTGCTCTGGAACCTTCCATGCCCTATAACCCTCTGTGCCCTGGAACCACGGCGCCCCTAGAGTTAGCCAGGAGCAAGTGCATTTCACGTGGGGCTCAGGCCTGGTTTTTGCTAAATAATTTGTGTAATTTGCAAAACTGCCAGAGAGAACCCTGGAAGGTAAGTTAGATAAGTGAGCAGACAACCGCCTGCACCACCTTTGGAGAGTGGCAGAAGCCAGCGCCTGTACCCTGGACAGCGCCTCCCGCTAAGGCACAGCAGGCCCCTGGGGGCGTGGGCCGGGCGTGGTGGGAGCCCCCTAAGCGCTGGGACAGGGAGGGCCGCGGCGTCGCGGAGGACGGCCTGTAGCGCGTGTCTGCCCTCCCGGTGCAGAGGGAAGACTTCCAGATCTACGAGAAGTACTGCCAGAACAAGCCCCGGTCTGAGAGCCTGTGGCGGCAGTGCTCCGACTGCCCGTTTTTCCAGGTGTGTCCCTCCTCCCTCGCTAGCTGGTCTTAAGCAAAGGCAGGTGAGCGCTGAGCGCCAAGGCTCTGTTTGGTGCAGGAGTGCCAGAGGAAGCTGGACCACAAGCTGAGCCTGGACTCGTACCTGCTGAAGCCCGTGCAGCGCATCACCAAGTACCAGCTGCTGCTCAAGGTGGGGCTCGGAGGGGCAGCCCCGCGCGGCCCCTCCAGCTCCGTGAGTCTGACGGGGTCGAAGTGGACGGGGCTCCCCCGGGGGTGGGCGGGGTGCCGTGGGTCTGCACCTGCGTCTAGGAGCCGCTCGGCCGCACGTCATGTTCCGGGAGGGGGCCGGGCCGCAGCTTCCTGCAGACGGGGGGCCGCGTGGGGCCCCTTGCTCCAAGCCCATGGCGGCCGCGCCGGGAGCCCCCCAGCTCCGGCAGGGTCCGCGTTTCCGGGAGAGCCGGCGGCTCTGGAGGGTGTGGGGGGCTGTGTGCACAGGCCGTGCTGACGGCCCGCCACACGCAGGAGATGCTCAAGTACAGCAGGAGCTGCGAGGGCGCGGAGGGGCTGCGGGAGGCGCTGAGCTCCATCCTGGGCATCCTCAAGGCCGTCAACGACTCCATGCACCTCATCGCCATCACCGGCTACGACGTGAGCGGGCTCCTCCCCACTCCGTGGCAGCCCGTGGGCCCCGTCAGTGCTTGGGCTTTGGGTGCCCGCACCCTCCGGAACCTGGCGGAAGCTGGTTCTGCGTCCAGAGGAAGCAGGCTGCCGAGGGCACACGCGGGCTCACACGTGGGGCGGACGGGACGGGCTCCCTGGGGTCCCGGTGCCTGCAGAGGGGGACCCAGACCTCAGGTGTGGCCGTCTGCTTCCCGCGGCGCGGTTTGTGGGCTGGCGACTCACAAGTGGCCACAAAGGGCAGATTCCTGCTCTGCGCGGCGACCCCGTGCCCGGCGGACTTGCGGTCCTGCCTCTCCCCGTGTCCGTTCAGCGCCTTTTCGGTTTCCTGCGTCGGCAGACGTGATGCTTTCAGCAGCCTCGGGCGTGTGGCCCAGCTGCCTGACCAGAGCCTACTCCCGCCCTGCCCCACTGGCTCTGCGCCCCGTTACCGCCAACAGCCAGAGTCGCTGCGCGGTCCCTGGCCACGCGCAGGTCACGGAGGGCACACGCTCGGCGCTGTGCGTTCGCGGGTCTGGATGCGCACGGCGTCCTGTGCTGCCACGACAGCGCCGTGCGATGTCGCCACCCCCAAGCCCGCGACCCCCGTCCCGCACCGTCCCTGTGGGTCCCCTTTTCCAGACCGGCCTCCTGCCGGGCTGTGACGGCCCCTCTGCCCGCGGCAGGGCAACCTGGGCGACCTGGGCAGGCTGCTCATGCAGGGCTCCTTCAGCGTGTGGACGGACCACAAGAGGGGCCACACCAAGGTGAAGGAGCTGGCCCGGTTCAAGCCGATGCAGCGGCACCTGTTCCTGCACGAGAAGGCCGTGCTCTTCTGCAAGCGGCGGGAGGAGAGCGGCGAGGGCTACGAGAAGGCCCCGTCCTACAGCTACAAGCAGTCGCTGAACGTGAGTGGGGCCTCCCCGGCCCCCGCACGTGCGGCTCGCTTCGCCTGCAGCAAAACCTCTGTCTGGGGCCGGCGCTGGCGCTCGGCGCCCACCTGGGCAGGGGTGGGGGGCTCCTCGCCCACCCAGCAATGCCTCCGGCTGCCCCGGGCGTGTTCACCCCACCCCCCGTCTGCCCGCAGATGACAGCCGTCGGCATCACGGAGAACGTGAAGGGGGACGCTAAGAAGTTCGAGATCTGGTACAACGCGAGGGAGGAGGTCTACATCGTCCAGGTGGGCCCCGGGCCCGGCTTGCCGAGAGAGGCTCTGACGGTGGCGGGTATCTAGAATCTTTCATGTGCTCTCGTCACCCAGAGGCCAGGAGCAGCCGCTGTTGACCCGGGGCGCTGCCCGAGGCTGCCTCTCACGTGAGCTGGCCGCAGCGCGCAGCACACGGAAGGGTTCAAATCCGGGGGCAGAGGGACCACAGGAGAGGGGTTCACCCTCCCGCGTCCCCGCCGCACAGGAGAGGGCTGGCGTGTGTCCAGCACGCGGGGCCCCGTCCTCCTGCGTTGAGACGGGAGAACTCAAGCTCCTGCCGCAGTCCCCAGCGCTGCACTGTGGCGTCTGCTCCTGGGCACCAGTCACTGTTGTCCTTGTCACCTAAGACAATGTCACTTCCCAGAGAGGGCAGGCTCTGCCCCAGTTTACCGGCGAGTCGGGCGTGGGCCGTGGTGCAGCGGCGCTGGCCGGTGGTCCGGTACTGGCTGCACTGCGGTGCCCGGCACCCGGCCCTTTTCCCGTCCGCCCCGTGCCGTGGGGCCCAGAGTCCTGCCGCCCGGGACAGGCCGTGGCTCACGCGCAGCCACCCGGCCGCTGGTGCCTGAGAGTGACCTTGGACATCTCGAGAGGGAGACACCAAAGCACGTTTTGTCAGCGCCCCAGACACTCACCTCCCGGCGTTTCTCTGGGGGAACAGGCGCCGACTCCCGAAATCAAAGCGGCCTGGGTGGGCGAGATCCGGAAGGTGCTGACCAGCCAGCTGCAGGCTTGCAGAGGTGAGAGGGTGCGCCACAGCCGCTTAGCCAGGGCAGCCACGACCCCCTGACGACGCGAGGCAGCGCCACACCTGCGGGGGAGGGGAGTGCCGGTCCCCGTGGCGGCCACGCCAGCAGTCTGTGTGCTTCCCCCGCAGAAGCCAGCCAGCACCGGGCGCTGGAGCAGTCTCAGAGCCTGCCCCTGCCGGCCGCACCCAGCTCCAGGTGAGCCACGCAAGCCCACAAGGGGGGTTTTTGAGCGTGCCGGGGTCCCCCGGCCTCTGCCACCGGAACCTCCCGGGTGTGGGGTGGCGCTTGCGCAAGGCCCTAGCGTGCCGGCGTCTGGGAATGACGTCCGTCCCAGAGCCATCTTAAAGGCCTGTGCCCCGGACCCTCTGGCCGTCCTCCGGCCGTGGACTGTGCCCCGCACGGGCAGCGCCTGCCACAGGGCTCTTGCCTGGGCCGGTGATCCCGGCGTTCTCTGGTGGCTGGCGCATGCAGTGCGTTCCACACAGCGGCCTGGCGGCGGCTTCACAGTCTTTCTTGCCTTGATTTTTCCTTTGTTATCTTACTGATTTCCTTGTTTTTTTCACTTTGTTTTTCCTGTTTCTTGTATAAGCCTCCTTTAATCATAAGTGGAACGGGATGTCGCCTAAATAAATAATCCGTGGAACAGCAGTTTTAAAAGAGAAATACCCTCCTCCCAAAAAAGCCCCCAGACCCCCTCCCTGGCGGCTAGCGAGGCGGCCTTTGAAGCCCGCAGCCTCTGGAGCCGTGAGGGCGCTGCCGCCGCGCCAGCCGGGCTGGGTGACGTCTAGACGCCAAGAATTGTGGTAAACTGACCGGGAATGCGCTTTCCTCTCTGTTTTGGTTCCTCGGTCGCCATAGTCCCTCCAGAGGGACCGCAAGAAACGTCAAAAAGCTGGAAGAGAGGAAAACAGACCCCCTGAGCCTGGAAGGCTACGTCAGTGCCGCGCCGTTGCCGAAGCCCCCGGAGAAGGGCAGAGGTGGGTGTCGGCTGTGCCGCGAGCAGCCCCCGGGCGTCACCCCGTGTCTGAGAAATGGCGGCTTCCCGCAGCTCGGCCCGCGTCCCTCCCGCCAGGACCCGGAGCCCACAGAAGAGCCCCCGACTCACAGGCGCCGTGGCTCCCAGTTCAGCCCCAGAAAGCGCCCAGCCAGGACCCCATGTGTGACCCCATGTGGGACCCCATGCGTGACCCCACCAGCTCTCCTCCCGCGACAGCCAGACCCCCTCTCGGCCATGTCTGGGGCCCCTGCATGTGTCTTTCTCTTCCTTCCTAGACGACATGGTCGCTAGCTCTGCCTCAGAAAGCTCCGCGCTTTCCAGAAAGCGCTTTACCCTGCAGGGCTTTGCTGACATCAAGGGTCAGAAAGGTAAAAGAGGCCCCGCGAACCCGCCTGCCCCCAGCATCCCTCCCGCGGTGGCATGTCTGTCGTGCATGGCGCGGCGGCCGTCGTGCGCCGTCCCGCGAGGAGCCCTGCCTCCTTCCCCACCGCATCTCACTGGCGCTGTGCGTGCCGTGCAGACCCCGGAGTTCTGCTTTTGGTGCCTTTTCTGTGGAAGGGAAGGCGCGTTCTCAGATGGAGGCCGGCTCAGCTCCCCGCCCCTCCCGTACCTCTTCTCGCCTTTCCCGCTGGGCGCCCCTCTGGCTGCCTCTGCTGTGCCTGATGCTTTCCGGCGTCTGCTGTGGGTGGGGCTCATCCCCGGGGACTGAGATCGCCAGTGGCCGGCGCCTTCGAGAGCTCTCGGGGTGAAACACCCGGGAAAGAAGCGCGCGGGGAAGCCCGAGGCCAGCCGGGGTGCGGGCAGGTCGTTCGGTGGCCAGACACCAGTCTGGACGTTTGGGGTGCTTTCCAATCTGTGAAATATTTGAAGATTGCCTTGCTCTTGAAAGAAAGAAACAAACTGCAAATTCTGGCGCGAATTTGCCAAGAAAAGGCGCCCAGAGATGGCCCTAAAATGACGCTCTGAGCCGACGCCCATCCCGGGCCTCTCCCGCCTCCCCTCAGGCTGGCCCAGTGGCCGCCGCGCCCATCCCAGCATGCGCCCCGTGCCCCCGCCCTCCGCCCTGCTGCGCGTCCTCACGCTCTGTCTGCTCTTGTTTCTGCCTCTTCCTCCTCCCGCAGCCTCTCCCACCAGCCCCGACAAGAAAGCCAAGCGGCTCCAAGTAAAGAGTGACCCGACGCCCTTTGGTGTGCGAGGTAGAGCCGCCCTGTCCCGCCGCCCCTGCCGTCTGGCCAGGGTGCTGTCCACTCAGCCGCCGCGGCGCCGCGGGGAAGATACCTGAGGGGGTCTTCCGGGCCGGGAGCGGGCGGCGCCGCCGCTCAGCAGCCAGTGCCCGGGGACGGGGCCTGCGAGGGTGGCTCACCGCTAGGCAGACGCGTCCCGGCCCGCTGCCGCTGCCCTCGCGCCGGCTGGGCTGTCACCGTCACCTGGCAGCTGGGGTTGGGTGGGGTGGCCTCACTGCTCAAGGCCGGGGTCGGCTGCCACGCCCAACAGGCTCCATTGCGGCCCCGTCACGGCCCCCTCCCGTGTCCGCAGTCTGTGCTGATGCTTGTTGGTGGACACATAGGACGCAGCAGCTGCCCGGCCGTGAGGCGTCCTTTCCTGGGCAGGTGGCAGGTGCACGGCGGGCGGTGGCCTTGTTCCTGCCTCCCTGGCGTCG